GGAGTGCAATGGCACGATCTTGGCTCACCGCAACCTCCGCCTCCCAGGTTCAAGCAATTCTCCTGCCTCAGCCTCCCTAGTAGCTGGGATTAAAGGCATGTGCTACTATGCCCAGCTAATTTTGTATTTTTAGTAGAGAAGGGGTTTCTCCATGTTGGTCAGGCTGGTCTTGAACTCCCGACCTCAGGTGATCCACCCGCCTTGGCATCCCAAAGTGCTGGGATTACAGGCGTGAGCCACTGCGCCTGGCCTCTCATATGGTTTTATATTGTTTTAAACTCAGAAAAGGAAAGAAAAGCAAAACAAAAAGCAGGTAACCCGGCACCTAGGAACCAGACCGAAAACCAAGGAACCAGACCCAAAACCAGGCCTGGGCCTGCCTGACCTAAGCCTGGTAGTTAAAATTCGACCCCTGACCTAGCAACTAATGTTATCTATAGATTATAGAAAGACATTGTGAAACTTCCCGGTCTGTTCTGTTTCACTCTGACCACCAGTGCATGCAGCCCCTGTCACGTACCCCCTGCTTGCTCAATCGATCATGAGCCTCTCACATGGACCCCCTTAGAGTTGTGAGTCCTTAAAAGGGACAGGAATTGCTCACTTAGGGAGCTCAGCTCTTGACACAGGAGCCTTGCCAATGCTCCCGGCCAAATAAACTCCTTCTTTCTTTAATTTGGTGTCTGAGGAGTTTTGTCTGCGGCTCATCCTCCTACATGCCCACCTGTACCCAGGTGAAATAAACAGCCTTGTTGCTCACACAAAGTCTGTTTGGTGGTCTCTTCACACGGACGTGCGTGACAGTGGTGGCAGGTGCCTGTAATCCCAGCTTCTCAGGAAGCTGAGGCAGGGAGAATCACTTGAACCCGGGAGGCAGAGGTTGCAGTGAGCTGAGATTTTGAACTCCAACCTGGGCGACAAAAGCAAAACTCCATCTCAAAAAAAAAAAAAAAAAAAGAAAAGTTCACAGTGATCATGCCCACCAAAATCACATCAAAGGTCTCATACATCCAGAAAACTAGAGTAGGGGATGAGATGGGAAAAGGATCACAGGAGCTTCACCTGTGACAAAATGTAAGAGCTGAAAAAGTTGACTGGTGAAGATATACCGTGATTTTTTCAGAGCATTTTTTTTTGCATCTGTTACTCTAAAAATCAAATGAAAACAAAATATAGACCAAAACAACTGTCTCCTTCAAGAAAGGAGCGAAAGGCTATATCTGAAAGGGTGATTGTGGAGGATATTGGGATTCTGATTCAAATACCTAAACTGCCTCATTGGCTCAGTTACCTCCCTGGTCTCTGTATACATTCGAGTTTGCGATCCATCACATTTAACCACTGGCGATCTGATTCCAAGTCAACCATTTAACAACCTGAGCACAAAATTTAAGCAGGCAGTTTCTTCCCTTGTGAGAAGGGAAAGACAACTTCAACTTTATGGATTGTTGTGAACGTCCAATAACTTGTGTAAAACTTTTTTTTTTTTTTTTGAGACGGAGTCTTGCTCTGTCGCCCAGGCTGGAGTGCAGTGGCCGGATCTCAGCTCACTGCAAGCTCTGCCTCCCGGGTTTAAGCCATTCTCCTGCCTCAGCCTCCCGAGTAGCTGGGACTACAGGCGCCCACCACCTCGCCCGGCTAGTTTTTTGTATTTTTAGTAGAGACGGGGTTTCACCATGTTAGCCAGGATGGTCTCGATCTCCTGACCTCGTGATCCACCCGTCTCGGCCTCCCAAAGTGCTGGGATTACAGGCTTGAGCCACCGCGCCCGGCCTTGTGTAAAACTTTTGTAAAACGTTAACTGTGCCAGACACATGCTGGTTTATATGGGTATCAGCTAATTCCTGGATCTAGTCTTTATTTCCACGGATTTAGGGAATCATTTTACATGGTAAAATACGCCCCTCGAACTAACAAGTTCATCCAGGGACAAAGCCTGACTTTAGCAGGAACACAAAACACCTGAGCAAGGAGGCGGCGGCCCCTGCCTGGTGCGCATGCGCGACTGTAAAAGCCGTTAGGTCTGTCCCTGGCGCCCGATTAGAATATTTAATTCCAGTTGGAGCGCTTTTCCTCACCTTACTATATTTTATTTCTGGTAAATGCCCACACATTTTAATTTCTGAGAGGCACAAATTCCTCTCAGACTCATTCAAATTGACCAAGTAGTCTTACTAAGGTGACTTTTGTCTCATTGTAAATCCTCAGTAAATTTTATAGTTTAGGATGATGACATAATTTTTGCGTAAAAGTAACAACTCATTTCACCGGAAAGGGACCACGACAGGAGCAGGGACTCGAGTTTCTTTTTATTCGGGCACTTCAGTAGTTACCTCTTGCTTGGGGGCGGTGCCGCGTGTGGACCCGATGGACCCCGGCGACGCGGCCATTTTGGAGTCTTCCTTAAGGATCCCTTACCGGTTTTTCGAGACAGTGCTGCCGCCACTGCCCGCGGCCTTGCAGGGCAGGATGAATGTGATAGACCACGTGCGGGACATGGCGGCCGCGGGGCTGCACTCCAACGTGCGGCTCCTCAGCAGCTTGTTACTTACAATGAGTAATAACAACCCGTGAGTTGAGGCGGGGAGCGGCCTGGGGCTGAGGAGAAAGCGGCAGTGGTCTGGGACCGGGGGCTCAGGGCACGCGGGAACAGGCGGGAAGGAGCGGCCTCCCGCACCAGCGGAGCCTCCGGCGTCTGCGAGGGCGTAGTGGAGCGGAGCAGACTTCGGAGCGCAAGTTGGGTTCACTGGGTGCCGGCATCAAGTCCTTGCGGAGATGTGGCGAGCGGCGGCTTGGAGAAATAGAAGGCAGAGGCTCTGAGGACGAGCCAGGCGAGGGTTTTCTGAGGCACCTGTCGCGGGGTAGCGCGACTGTCACATCGCTGGGCCGAATCCTCCCCTCTCGGCTCCTTCCAGAGAACGTTTTTTTCTCTCGCTGCAGCTCCGGGACCCAGCCTCCTGGTTTTTATGCTCTAGCCCCGCATCTGAGATTGGTCACCCCATTAAGTGTATCAGGAGGGTCCACTTTCTCGCCTTGGGAAACCCCTGAAAACGGGGCCGGGCGCGATGGCTCACGCCTCTAATACCAGCACTTTGGGAGGCCGAGGCGGAAGGATCGCTTGAGCCCAGGAGTTAAGACTAACGTGGGCAACATAGGGAGACCCTGCCTCTATGAAAAATAAAAATTAAACAATTAGCCGGGCGTGATTGTGCGTGCCTGAGTTCCCAGCTACTCGGGAGGCTGAGGCAGGAGGATTGCTTGAGCCCAGAAGGTCGAGGCTGCAGTGAGCCGTGATCGCATCACTGTCCTTTACCGTGTGCGACAGAACGACAGCCTGTCTCAAAAAAAGGAAACAGGAGATTCCATTAATGGGTGGGCGTGGCTTCTTTCTTGTTTCATTGAAGCACTGGGCTGATTCCATCCTTGAGTGTCCATCCTTAAGTACATGTCCCTCTCCTGCTTAAAATCCTTCACTGGCCGGTTGCAGTGGCTCACGTCTGTAACCCCAGCACTTTGGGCGGCCGAGGCAGGCGGATCACGAGGTCAGGAGATCGAGATCATCCTGGCTAACACGGTGAAACCCCGTCTCTACTAAAAAAAATACAAAAAAATTAGCCGGGTGCGGTGGCGGGCACCTGTAGTCCCAGCTACTGGGGAGGCTGAGGCAGAAGAATGGCGTGAACCCGGGAGGCAGAGCTTGCAGTGAGCCGAGATCGCGCCGCTGCACTACAGTCTGGGCGACAGAGCGAGACTCCGTCTTAAAAAAAAAAAAAAAATCCTTTATTGCACTCATGAAAATTATTTCCCATGGCCTCCGAAGGGAAATATCTGCCCTTCACTCTCTGCTACTTCATCTCATTACTGTGTTCACTGCTCTCCAGCCTCTCTGGCTATTCTTTCTGTTATTTATTTATTTTTATTTATTTTTGTTTTTTTTGAGACAGAGCTTTGCTCTGTCGCCCAGGCTGGATGGAGTTCAGTGGCGCGATCTCGGCTCACTGCAGCCTCCGCCTCCTGGGTTCAAGCGATTCTCCTGCCTCAGCTTCCCAAGTAGCTGGGATTACAGGCGAGCGCCACACGCCCAGGTAATTTTTGTAATTTTAGTAGAAACGGAGTTTCAATATATTGACCAGTCTGGTCTTGAACTCCTGACCTCAGGTGATCCCACCACCTCGGCCTCCCAAAATTTTGGGATTACAGGCGTGAGCCACCACGCTTGGCCTCTTTGTGTTATTTGAATGTACCAAGCGTGTTCTCTGGGCCCTTGTACTTGCTGTTCCTGCTGCAACGGTCTTTATCTCAGCGCTGCCTCCTCCTTCAGGTTTTAGCCTGAACATCTCTCCCAGAGAACCTTCTCTGACTCCCAGGACTCTCAGGTACTCCCACTTTTCTACCCTTCGCATCGCCTAGCAATTGAAAGCACAGTGGATGTGCGCATTAAGCACTCACATGCTTATTGAGTGTGTTGAGGAAGTGAGTACAACCTCAGGGAGGTGGAATACCCTTGTCTGAGTTCACACATCTAATAAATGGAGGTACAATGTCTGGACCTGGTCTTCTCTGACTGGGAGTCTCCATTCTGAGCCATCAGTCTGCTACCTCCAAATGGCATTATCATGGAAACTTCTACTCTGTAGATGTATTAGTGTTTGGCCTGCTATAGAAGCTGGTCTAGGTCAGAAGGGAGAGGTCCTTAAAGTGCTTACAATGCAGCTGCTGCTGCCCATTGGATTTTCATGAGTGTGCTTTGGTGTTTTGTTTTGTTTTGCTTTTCAGTCAGAGTCTTGCTCTGTTGCCCAGGCTGGAGTGCAGTGGTGCGATCTTGGCTCACTACAGCCTCCACCTCCCAGGCTCAAGCAATCCTCCCACCTCAGCCTCCTGAGTAACAGGGATTATAGATTCGCACCACCACGCCCGGCTAATTTTTTTTTTTTTTAATAGAGATGGAGTTTTATCATGTTGACCAGGCTTGTCTCGAACTCCTGACCTCAAGTGATCCCCATGACTTAGGCCTCCCAAAGTGCTTGGATTACAGGCGTGAGCCACCGAGCCCGGCCTCATTAGTGTGCTTTGGACCTTACTAGTGAGACCCATCATTTTGCCACCATCCACTTCATGTTGACAGGAGCCCTGGTCTCTGTCAGCCTTCTGTGTTTATTCTGGAACCTTTCACTTGGTTCTTGGTTCTGAGTGATTTGTCAAAGCATAGTTTCCACGTTTGGAGATTTAGGCCCTACTTGCTCTTAGTTCTCAAAGATGTTACAGGAGAGTTTGAAACAGTTTAATTCTCTGGCTAGACTAAGTTTAGCCCATGCTTTTTCATGTTAGGTTAGATTGGCAGTTTCCTAGCTTTAGGACATGTTCAGGTTTCTGCCCTTCATGGTTTATACTTTAAAATTTCTTGTGGAATAGGCAGTAGACACTGTTAAATTCAAACAGTGGAGAAGGGGCATGCAGATCAGTATCTTTCCCTGAGTCTTGAACCTCACCCCACCATTTCCTTTCTCCAGAGGCAGTAACTATTTTTTCCTGTGTCATTACAGAGGTAACTTATGCATGTGTAAGTAGACTTGTATGTTATATGAATATCTGAATGCCTTCTGTGGGTGTAATAATACTTTTGTATCCAGGCATCAGATGGTTATTTCTCACTACATACATAGAATCACAGAGTTTGAAGAGAACTTAAGTCATCTAGACTATACTTTTTTGTTGTGTTATTTTTTTTGGGGGGGAGACTGAGTCTCACTGTGTCACCAAGGCTGGAGTGCGGTGGCGTGATCTCGGCTCACTGCAGCTTCCGCCTCCTGGGTTCAAGCAGTTTTCCCTCAGCCTTCCAAGTAGCTGGGTTTACAGGTGCCCACCACCACGCCTGGCTGATTTTCGTATTTTTAGTAGAGACAGGGTTTCAACATGCTAGCCAGGCTGGTCGAACTCCTGACCTCAGGTGATCCTCCCACCTTAGCCTCCCAAAGTGCTGGGATTACAGGCATGAGCCACCGCTCCCGGCCGTTTTTTGTTTGTTTGTTTGTTTATTTATGAGACAGAGCCTCTCTCTGTCACCCAGGCTGGAGTGCAGTGGCGGGATCTTGGCTAACTACAAGCTCTGCCTCCCGGGTTCAAGTGATTCTCCTGCCTCAGCATCTAAGTAGCTAGGATTATAGGCGTAAGCCATCGTGCATGGCCACAGTAATGCAATTCTTTGGGTTTTAGAGTATTTACAAAATTGTATGGTCATCACCATGATCTAATTCCAGAAAGTTTTCATTACTTCAACGAAAAGAAACCCTGTGGCCTGGGATTACAGGCGTAAGCCACTGCGCCCGGCCTTTTTTTTTTTTTTTTTAAGACAGAGTTTCACTCTTGTTGCCCAGGCTGGAGTGCAGTGGCGCAATCTCGGCTCATAGCAACCTCCGCCTCCCGGGTTCAAGCGATTCTCCTATCTCAACCTCCCGAGTAGCTGGGATTACAGGCATGCGCCACCATGCCCAGCTAATTTTGTATTTTTAGTGGAGACGGTTTCACCATGTTGGTTAGGCTAGTCTTGAACTCCTGACCTCAGGTGATCTGCCTGCCTTGGCCTCCCAAAGTGCTGGGATTACAGGCGTAAGCCACTACGCCCAGCCCCCCATTCTCCTTTTATAGTGGCATTTTCTTTAGTTTTTCTGTTTTTGTTTTGTTTTGTTTTGAGATGGGGTCTCACTCGGTCGCCAGGCTGGAGTGCTTGTGCGATGGTGCAATCTCGGCTCACTATAGCTGGAATCCCAGCACTTTGGAAGACTGACGCAGGTAGATTACTTGAGGTCAGGAATTTGAGACCAGCCTGGCCAACATAGCGAAACCCTGTGTCTACTAAAAAAAAAAAAACAAAAATTAGCTGGGCGTGGTGGCACGTGCCTGTAATCTCAGCTACTCTGGAGGCTGAGGAAGGAGAATCGCTTGAACCTGGGAGGTGGAGGTTGCAGTGAGCTGAGATCGCGCCACTGCACTCCAGCCTGGATGATAGAGTGAGAATCCATTTCAAAAAAAAAAAAAAAAGTTGGGGGAGCTTGGATTGAAAGGGAGGAAAAGATGTATTACATTTTCTCTATCTCCTACTGGATTTGATTCATAGGTATCATTGCTTTAATGTTAAAGAAAGATTATATTGAGCAATAGATATATTTATCATATTAGCATAGAGTTCAGCTTTCAACTTTCATGGTTCTTACTTTAGGGACTAGCACTCAGGGTACATTGACTCTTTTGTAAGCTGTCATTATACAAGGCTTTGCGCTAGGCTTATGTAGACACTTAACAGTGTTCCTTCTAAAATTTCAAAATAACCTATGTAGGGGATATACTTTCTTTGTTTTCTAGTGAGTTATTCTCCCCATCTCAGAAGTACCAGCTTTTGGTGTATCATGCAGATTCTCTCTTTCATGATAAGGAATATCGGAATGCTGTGAGTAAGTATACCATGGCTTTACAGCAGAAGAAAGCGCTAAGTAAAACTTCAAAAGTGAGACCTTCAACTGGAAATTCTGCATCTACTCCACAAAGTCAGGTAATCGAAGATAGAATTGTGATTTTTTTTTTTTTTTTTTGAGAAAGACTCCAAAAATTTAGAACAGGGCTCCCCAGGCCCCAGTGCCTGGTCTGTTAGGAACCAGGCTGCACAGCAGGAGGTGGGTGGAGGGCTAGTGAATATTACTGCCTGAGCTCCGCCTCCTGTCAGATCAGCTGTAGCATTAGATTCTCACAGGAACACAAACCCTATTGTGAACTACACTTGCTAGGATCTAGGTTGTGTGTTCCTTATCATAATCAGACTAATGCCTGATGATCTGAGGTGGAACGGTTTCATCCTGAAACCACCCTCTCACTCCCCATCTGTGGAAAAATTGTCTTTCATGAAACTGGTCCCTGGTGTCAAAAAGGTTGGGGACCGCTGATTTAGATGATAGCTGATTAGTTGTAAAAGATGAGGCCAGGCACAGTGGCTCACACCTGTAATCCAAGCACTTCGAGAGGCTAAGGTGGGAGGACTTGAGGTCAGGAGTTTGAGACTAGCCTCGGCAACATAGTGAGACTCCTGTCTTTACACAACTGGGCATGGTGGCACACACCTGTAGTCCTAGCTACTGAGGAGGCCAAGGTGGGAGGATTGCTTGAGACTAGGAGTTCAAGACTGCAGTAAATTATGTTGGCATCACTGCATTGCAGGACTCCAGCCTGGCAACTGGGCTTTGCAGCCTGGGCAACAGAGCGAGACCCTGTCTCAAAAAAAGAATTACTGGGTCATATGATAACTGTGTTTAACGTTTTGAGGTACTTTCATATTGTTGGAATAATGTTTCAAAGAGATATTTTCATTGTCTTTTAGTGTCTTCCATCTGAAATTGAAGTGAAATACAAAATGGCTGAATGTTACACAATGCTAAAACAAGATAAAGATGCCATTGCTATACTTGATGGGATCCCTTCAAGACAAAGAACTCCCAAAGTAAGTTGAATGTTTGTGTGTTTTTCTCCTCAGCCCTCCTAACCTTGCTCCCTCCCTCCATGTTTTCTCATGCATTAAGGAGTCCATCTGAACATTTTACCCATGATTCTAATTCTCATTTTCTTCCTCTTCATGGAGTGGGGGACCCTGAAAATTCAGCTGTTGAAAATGATAACTACACATGCTTATTCTTTGGTTTTTTCTTTTTTTCTTTTTTTAATGTTTAACTTAGTATTTTTTGAGACTGAGTCTCACCGTCACCCAAGCTAAAGTGCAGTGGTGTGATTCTGGCTCACTGCAGCTTCAACCTCCCAGGCTTAAGCAATCCTCCCACCTCAGCCTCCCAAATAGCTGGGATTACAGTTGCAAGCTGCCACACCCAGCTATTTTTTTTTTTTTTTTTTTGAGATGGAGTTTTGCTCTTGTTGCCCAGGCTGGAGTGCAGTAGCATGGGGGCTCACTGCAACCTCCGTCTCCTAAGTACAAGCGATTCTCATGCCTCAGCCTCCCGAGTAGCTGGGATTACAGGCACCTGCCACCATACCAGTCTAATTTTTTTGTATTTTTAGTAGAGATGGGGTTTTGCCATGTTGGCCAGGCTGGTCTTGAACTCCTGACCTCAGGTGATCCGCCCACCTTGGCCTCCCAAAGTGTTGGGATTATAGGGGGGCGCCACTGCGCCCAGCCAATTTTTTTTATTTTTGGTAGAGACAAGGTTCCACTGTGTTGCCCAGGCTGGTCTCAAACGCCTGGGCTCAAGTTGTCCTCCCACTTTGGCCTCCCAAAATGCTGGGATTATAGGTGTGAGACACCACTCCACGCCTATTTTTTATTTTTGTTTTGTTTTTTTGTTTTGAGACAGAGTCTTGCTCTGTCTCCCAGGCTGGAGTGCAGTGGTGCAATCTTGGCTCACTGCAGCCACCACCTCCCAGGTTCAAGTGATTCTCCTGCCTCAGCCTCCCAAGTAGCTAGGACTACAGGCACCCACCACCACCACCACCACTCCTGGCTAATTTTTGTATTTTTGGTAGAGATGGTGTTTCACCATATTGGCCAGGCTGGTCTTGAACTCCTGACTTTGTGATTTGCCTGCTGCGGCCTCCTAAAGTGCTGGGATTACAGGCGTGAGCCACCATGCCCGGCCTTTTTTTTTTTTTTCTAGAGGGAGGTTCATTCTTGTTGCCCAGGCCGGAGCGCAATGGCACAATCTCAGCTCACTGCAACCTCCGCCTCCTGGGTTCAAGCGATTCTCCTGCCTCAATCTCCTGAGTAGCTGGGATTACAGACATGCGCCACCATGCCCGACTAATTTTGTATTTTTAGTAGAGATGGGGTTTCACCGTGTTAGCCAGGATGGTCTCAGTCTCCTGACCTCATGATCCGCCTGCCTCAGCCTCCCAAAGTGCTGGGATTATTCTATCTATCTATCTATCTATTTATTTTTATCGCTCTGTCTCCCAGGCTGGAGTGCAGTGGTGCAATCTTGGCTCACTGCAGCCACCACCTCCCAGGTTCAAGTGATTCTCCTGCCTCAGCCTCCCAAGTAGCTAGGACTACAGGCACCCACCACCACCACCACCACTCCTGGCTAATTTTTGTATTTTTGGTAGAGATGGTGTTTCACCATATTGGCCAGGCTGGTCTTGAACTCCTGACTTTGTGATTTGCCTGCTGCGGCCTCCTAAAGTGCTGGGATTACAGGCGTGAGCCACCATGCCCGGCCTTTTTTTTTTTTTTAGAGATAGTCTCCACTGTGTTGCCCAGGTTGGTCTCAAACTTCTGGGCTCAAATTGTTCTCCCACCTTAGCCTCCCAAATTGCTGGGATTACAGGTGCGAGCCACTGCACCTGGCCTCTTCGTGTTTTTGTTTTTAAGTGAAAGTGAGTTTACTAATAAAATAAAGGAATAAAGAATGACTACTCCATAGGCAGAGAAGCCTTTGATGTTTCTTATTATAGGAAATAATGATTTATTTGCAAAACACTTCCAGGTGGTAAACATACTTTTTTAGAACTTCATTTTTTGCCCTCCATAGGTGTACCCCTTTGGTAATGGGGGTGGTTTTATTCCTTTGTTTTCAAACTTAATACTGTAAGATTCTTTTATCCTTATTTATGTGTAGAATATGTCTTTGTGTTTGATTTGGCAGCATATTACAGTGAAGAAAACACCTTTAATTAAAATCAAAATATCTGGTGTCTAGTTTGAGTTTAGGGCATACAAGCTGTGTGCAGTGCAAACTTGGGCATGTTACTAATTTGTGAGCTTTACTACTTTTTTATTTATAAAATGAGAAGAATAGTATTTTTTCTGTTAGTTTTATAAATGCTAAATAAGTTCATGAATGTGAGAATATATCAGTGTTTAATATTCTAAGAATACTGTCATGTCTCCCGCCCTGCTCACTTTATTGAAAAACTGTTTTGTGCAACTTTTGCTTAATAATAAGGAATTTTATAGGTAAAATGACGTGTGCATCCTCCTGCCTTTAAAAGATAGGAAATCTAAGCAGTAGGGGCCTGGTGTATTTTAGTTAGTGCTGCTTCATCCAAGTCTTGCTGAACTTTAAAAGTAACCAAACTTGATGAGAACATGTTTAAGCACCTCCTCATATTAAGGTATTATTTACTGTTTTCTGAGTTTTTGAAGCTATTTTTTCAGTAGGATTTTGGCTGCTATTAAAAACACTTGAACGTTTATTATGAATTAACCTCTCTCATAATAAGCTTGGATGCTGTATACCAAATCCTGTTCTGGTAACCTATGAAAGTCTTCTCTTACTCCAAGAATAATCTTTTTGCACAGATAAAGAATGTCTGCTGCAATACTCAAGGTATCTTCCTTTTGTAAGAAACCTTTTTTTTTTTTTTTTTTTGTTTTTGAGACGGAGTCTTGCTGTGTCGCCAGGCTGGAGTGCAGTGGCACGATCTCAGCTCACTGCAACCTCCATCTCCCTACCTCAGCCTTTCGAGTAGCTGGGACTACAGGCGCACAGCCCCATGCCTGGCTACTTTTTTGCATTTTAGTAGAGACAGGGTTTCACCATGTTGGCCAGGATGATCTCGGTCTCCTGACCTCAGGTGATCCGCCCGCCTCGGCCTCCCAAAGTGCTGGGATTATAGGTGTAAGCCACCATGCCCGGCCAAGAAGCCATTTTAATTATAAACTTTGAAGGATACTATTCCTTACCTTATTAGAAATATACCATAATCTCCTTCGAAATGACTTGTGGATATTCATAGGAGTTTTTTTTGGAAAATAGTAATGGCAAAGCATCTCAGCTTTACAGCATCCACTGCTTGATTTTCATTGCCATCATTCTTAGAGCAACTGTATGAGTCTGCATTTGTCAGTAGTACGTATCCTTCATTCTGTAGTGCTCTTATAGCTAGGAGCAAAGATGTGTGCCTCGAACATAAACCTTTAACATTTACAGTTTTTCTTTCTTGTCCGTTAGGGAGTTAACTGGCTTCTCAGTCTGTGTAAAGGACAAGGAAGTGAGTCAAAATATGTCTAAATGAATGTCTGTTAATATATGGTAAACATCGCCACACATTCCCTCACATTTTAAAGGAAAATTTCAGTGTTAGATTATTAAATCTTGGTAAATCTTCACATTTTAAGAGTAAACATACCAACATAGAATTTCTTACTCAGTTTTTAGAAAATGATGACTGCTTGTTTTTATAACTGGAGGTGATAATCGATGGTTTATGATGTTCTTAAGTGAGGGATCTATTTTTTAAAGAATAGTTGACTATAATTATTTATTTTTATGAGAATGGAAAAGTGTCTCGCTCTGTTGCCCAGGCTGGAGTACAATGGCATCGATCTCAGTGCTCACTGGCAACCACTCCGCCTCCTGGGTTCAAGCGATTTCTCTTGTACTGTCTTCAGCTTCCTGTGAGTAGCGCTGGGATCTACAGCGCATGCTGCTGCACCTGGCTAATTTTTTGTATTTTAGTAGAGGGGACAGGGTTTCCACCACGTGGCCAGGCTGGTCCTCGAACTCCTGACCTGTGTAATGCACCCCGGCCTGGCCTCCAAGATGCTAGGACTGAGGCGTGAGCCACACACATGCCCGGCCATAACTGCAACTTTTTTCCAGTCTAGGTATTGTACTCAAAACTAATTCTTTTAAAGTGACAGTCAGGTAGCATTAAAGGAAATTTGATATTTTTGAGACAGATAGTCCTCAGTCATAGTTATGGTTAATATTAACCAGCAGTCAAGGAAAGGATACTTAGATTTATACTTTTTATTCTTTTACAAGTATTGACATCCAATCCTGGAGTTTTCCTTTAAGTATTTTTCTTTGCATTTTCAAAATAGTAGCCTAATACGGAAAAATCTGAGCCAAGTAAAAATAGTTTATTTTATAGTGTTTTCATTATTCCATTGTATTGAATTGTGTGATTAATGCTGTATTAGATTGTTTTATGTAATGTAGGGCTATAATTGCAACAGATGTTCTTTATCTTGTAACAGATGTTCTTTATCTTCAGAGCCGCTCTTTCTAGTAAATATCTGGCATACCAAGCCACAGATAATCGAAGAGATTGGGGTTGACCTTTTTTCTTTTGTGCCTCTCAC